CTAGCTGGATGGCTGCTCACTTCCTTAAACTCGACTTGAAATTCTGGTCTTTGATCCCTCAAGTGTTGCTACTCCTGGGTCTGTCTGTCTCCAAGTCAACCGTGCTACCTTCAGCTCCACCATGCAGGCTCGCTCCCTAGGTGTTCTCTCCGACCTCTCCTTCACGCCTCATGTTCAGTCTGTTGCCAAATCCTGCTGCTTCCATCTCAAAAACATTGCAAGCATCCGACCCTACTTAACGCCAGATGCGACTAAGGTGCTGGTCCATTCCACTGTCCTTTCTCGCCTTGACTACTGTAATCCGCTTCTTAATGGTCTTACGTGCTCCCAACTTGCGCCGTTACAGTCCATAATGAATGCGGGGGCGAGGCTCATCTTCCTGTCCGCCCGCACCGCCCACGCCTCACCCTTCTCTCAGTCCCTACCTTGGCTTCCTGTAAAATATAGGGCTCAATTTAAAATTCTGGTCCTTGCTTTCCAATCTCTACATAATGCTGCTCCCACCTATCTATCCTCCCTAATACACAAGTATGTCCAATCTAGGCCCTTATGTTCTTCTGAAGACTTACATCTGTCTTCTGTCCATACTCCCACATCTGATGCTCGCCTTCAAGACTTCTCGAGGGCTCCACCGTTCCTGTGGAACTCACTTCCCCCTTCTGTTAGATGCTCACCCAGTCTCCACTTCTTCAAAAAAAAATCATTAAAAACCCACTTCTTCATAAAAGCATATCAATTAAACTGTTAATAGCTCCCGGCTGATTCCTCTCTTGCAACTGTCATTAGTCTAATACTATCCTTACCTTTTGTGTCACTTTACCCCACTCGCTCTAGCATGTCCAACTTGTCTGGTTACAACTACATGTTTGTTTGTTCATCTATCCACTGTAAAGCGCTGCGGAATTTGTTGGCGCTATATAAATAATAACATAATAATAATATTATAATATTACTATAATATTATTTCACTATCATGTATGTTTTTATAGCTTCTAAATATGCCTTCTGTGTTCATAAGGCTTTTATAAGAGAAACATTTAATTGACAACTGCCCATGAACAAAGTCATTAATGCTGAACAAAAAGAGGTGTGGATCAGCTTAACCACAGAAAATAACTTTGAAAAACTAATACATGCATGTTTTATTTTAAATGCCTTATTCAAGAGCAATAATGCATGTACAATTTTAACCTAGAATTATTGTTCAAACTATGTCACATCTTTATTTTGTGAGTCTTATTTACTTTCTACATTATAATAATGATAACACATACACCAAAGTATAAAATAAACTACTCTATATATTGAAAGAATGGTTGGTCAGAAAACCAGTGGAGTTTCTGCACAGTGCCATTTTAAAAAACAACCAACACTTTTAACCATTCTTTATGTAAGTAACATCATTTGTTACATTTTTTTGCTTTAAGTATTATCTTTATTGTGTATAAACTTTTGGGAAACATATCTTATATGTTGAAACCATTTCCTGTTTTTGTAACTTGTGAATAAAATTGCAGTACAAATATAGATATCCCAAATACCTTTGGTGTGCTGTATATCCTTAATATATACTTTTGTGATAATTAAAAAAAAAATTCTTGAACCCTTTCACTACCACTGATAAGCCAGGACACACATGATTAACAACCCATAGATCATAAGGCGTGAGATCCATCTCCCCTAATACAATGCTTTGATACCGAAATCATCGTTGAGCTAGTTCCTGCAACTTTTTAATAAGTTTAACCCCTTAATGACACAACTTCTGGAATAAAAGGGAATCATGACGGAATATTTCCGTCATGTGTCCTTAAGGGATTAAGAAATCTTTTAACAGAGTTCTGGAGATTGTTCAGATTTTTTTGAATGGCTTATTTATATATAGACAAAACTGTCTAACTCTCTTGATTGCAATTTACTACTTGACTTTCTACACCCTGGTTTCACCTCCCTAGTCACTGTACTGAAACTGCTATAATCAAAGCACTAATGATTTAATTGCAGCTAAATCTAAATGTCACTGCTCTCTGCTGATTCTTGATAAAACGTCTTATAAAACAAGTAATGGAAATTTACAGACTTCACAGACTATTTTACAAAGAAGAATGATCTTCTAAGGTGAATGCTATTGTAGGTGACATTGAATAACAGTTGTATAGTGGAGAAGCTCAAGGCATGCCGTTGCCTGGGAGAAAATTGCATTATTTATGCTTTGAAACTGATTATTTAGTAACTGAATTTAAGACTTATAGTGTTTTGCAAACCTCAGCGAAGACATTAATGAACAAAGCTATTCAATTTTTAATCAGCACCCTATGGTTGGCATAGATATCAATGCAAATTACTCTTACATTAGCAGTTTCTATTCCTAGCTCTCATGTTACACAGAATTGGTTCCAAATTGAAATTTTCTTTTAACAAATGAAGGAACCTTACATCAAATAATACATAAGTAATGCAATATCCTTCAGGAAATAAACAGAACTTATTGATCCACAATTCAATAATGCTAATTGCCAACAGATCTGGGTTTTAATATCCACCAACATGATTAACATATAAAGACTAGTCTGACTCAACTTTCAAGTTATGTTACCTAATCTTAACTTTGCAATAGCCTCATCAATGTTATATGTGGTTGACGCATAATATTCGTATAAGTCAGCCACTCCCATCAGCCATCTTTATTTGTAAGCTGCCAATGAGAGATGCAGCTTATCTGTGCTATCCAATCTTTTTTCGAATCTTTGGTGGACAATAGCTACATTGGCCTCTGCAGTGACCACTACTTGGTCAATCGTTGTAGATATCACTCAAAATATCACATTGTGGCTTTCGCAAATGCATCTTTATACAGATATGACATTCATCACTATTAGCACTATCATACATACAGGACAGTCATACAGTTAAGAAAAAAATAATCTAAAAATCAAAGTCCAAAAACAAATAGCTAATAGATAAACCTCTGTATAGATTCCACCATGACTGGATTAAAAAAGGGATAAGTGAGGAAATAACAAATAAAAAGGTTATGTGTTCTGTCTACACTGTCTAAAATACTAGTTTGTAGAATTTAAGATTCAATTTTAGATTCAGTTTGGGCCAAACTGGAATTTGGCTGAATTCAGGCTGATTTAGTGAAACCGCCACACAATTGAATCTCTGGTGGAAAAGACTTGAATGAGCATGAACTTGTTTGGCTCAGTCATTTATTCCAAGTGCCATCCCTAGCACCAGAAAAAATGGGGATGGGAAGGATAAGAGACTGTTTTGTTTTGTTTTTTCTTTGTTTTTGTTTAGGGAAAATAAGCAGCTTAGTCTTCCATAATGAAGGACTGTCCTATCATGTCGGCTGGATCTCCAGTCCAATCAAGAGGTAGAAAAAAAAGATTGATGATTAGGAGACAGCCACTAAATTCTGACTTTATTTACTTCAATTGACAACTATGCCCATTTGCATGTACATCTATTAACTCTGGGATCATTGGGGACACGTGACTTCTTGGTTTTCTGTGCCTTTGGAAGACTTTTCAAAGTCCAACTTGA